TGATGATCCTGGTGAGAAGAAAGTTATTGTTCCAAGAAAATTCCGTAGAGTAGAACGAGTACAAAACTATTCTCGGTTCTGTATCTGCATAATGGTCTATGGTAATGCAGCTGGAGTTCTCCTGTCTTCGATGGTAGTGTATAAAAGCGCCAATTTATATGAAAACTGGTGTACAAGAGGACCCCCTAGTACTGTTTATGGGAGCAGCCGTTCCGGATGGTTTGACATGGACGTTTTTAAGCAATGGTTTTTTAAAACCCTTTTACATAATAGCTGCCAAGAAGCCAGAAACACGAGCAGTTGTAGTTGGAGATAACATGGCTAGCCATTTTTCACTAGACTTCATAATAGCAGACCTAGAAAATAATATTTATATCTGCCCATTTCTAGCCAAGGTCAACATTTGATACAGACCCTAGATGTGGCTGGATTAGCACCTTTTAAGAAAAAGTGTCGCGAAATATTGGAAAAATGGTGAAGGAAGAGCAGACACTTCTCAGTTTTACTTTCACCACGCGATTCGCAGTGAGCAAAATCAAAGTGAAATAGAATCTCAACCTTAGACGATCCCGGACAACAGCTACTAAAAATTGCCTTATTTGTTCGACAGCTAGCCAGAGTCATCAGAAATACTATCAGAAAAGGTCACGGGCAAATCCAAGAAACCCATTAATAATAGCAAATTTGTGAAGTAAGAGCGATTTAAATTCAAAATGTGCCACATGCCGCATGCTATTTAAAAATTACATTGGGAGGGCCGACTGGATTGAATATGCAAAAATTGGATTTGTGGACTTTGTAATTCAGAAAGCAGTGATCCATTTTATATGTTCCCAGTTTGCGAATACTCAGATGACGAGCTAAAGGAACTACATACCGATAACAGCGATGAAGATAGAACTTTTAACAAAATAAAAGGACTTAAGGTATTACTTATGACAACTGCTCAAATATTGATAGAAAACCTGTGCTTCTTTGAACCACCCTTGGGTTCTCATTACTACAGAAAGGTGCGCTATGGTTTAATAATGTCATCTCTTAAAAATGTTGCTTCGTCGGACGTTGGCATTTCATCAAAATGAAAAAGGTTTTTAAAAGTACTGATCTACCACTAGCAACGAAAATACGTCCATTACATGGTTATATATTGTTAGTATTATTGTACGGAGTACTAACCAAAACTAAACTAACTTGAAGTTTTCAAAATGTAGTGATACAGGAGGATATTGAATAGATATGAGATGGGCCGGTTTATCAACGTCGAAGTATTACGAACTGTGAAAGTGCGAAATCAAGAATAAAATTAAGCAAAGGAAACTGTAAGACTTTGATATGGTGTGCTGCAACTTAATCTTCAGGGGACGGCGAAGAAAATTCTAGTTTCAAATCACTGAATTGTTCCGTGTAGCCGCCATTAAAGTTAGAATAGCTATGCTACTCGTTAGTGATAGGTACTACAAAAAGAAGTTTGTCACACTAATTTCGGGACATCCTGTTTTGAATTTTGCTCTCCGCGATTTTGTCGTTTTTTTTATGGCTAAGTTATTTGGAGTTTTAAAAAATTATATGTATATATAAATATATATATCTATATATATATATATATATATATATATATATATATATATATATATATATATATATATATATATATATATATATATATATATATCCGAAAACACTTCGAACACTGAGTGTGAGCGCGAGCATTGAAGATGCCAAGTGAGATTTTGGCGAAACGTCTGCAGGATTCCAGTCGGAGTTCAACGAGCGAACGGATGATATCCCGGAATATAGTGTCATCACATTTTTCCATCCGTGAATCAATACGTGAAAAAAAAAAAAAAAAATATATATATATATATATATATATATATATATATATATATATATATATATATATATATATATATATATATATATATATATATATATATATATATATATATATATATATATATATATATATATATATCAGAATAACTGACCGTTAAAAATTCTTAATCGGAAATTTAAATTAATACCATTGATTCTTTAAGGGTTAAACAAGAGTAAAGCTATAAACAAAATAATAATGTACATTTATTCATATGAAACTATAGTAACTAAATAAAACAAACGATTCAAACAATTATTCGGACAAAAAAGTACCTAATTTGAAAATTACTTCTAATATATTTTTTCATGTGGTAGTCCTTAAAACATTTTCCAACACATCGAGGAATTTCACAATATCCGCACTTAAAGCAAGTTTCTCTCCTTATGCCGTGAATTTTGCAAACTTTGCGCAGTTTTTGTGGAATTTTTTGCCTCGAACTTTTAAGTTTTACAAGCCTATGTGTTTTTACATCTCCTGAGAGCCTACTTGGTGGATCTTCATGAGAAGCTCTTTTTGGTGGGCCTTCAGAAACTTCTGCTTCTAAACCCACATTTTCTTGATTTTCGACCCAACTTTTAGCAACTTCTAGTAAATGAGAGGTAAATTTTATTTTCTTTGGCGGGTTCATTTTCTTGTTTATGACAAATGAATTAAATAATGCGCAGTTCAACATCAACATAAAAGCCTTTTTTGTCCATTTGATACTTTTTCTTATAATAGGATTATAAGACAAATCGACACATATACTAATGTATAATACTTTCTGGTTTTTTAATAATTTCACCAGTTTTACCGATGTATCGTTGAGATCATTCTGACTTATCTCTTGTCTTTCCATACATAATTTAAAATTTCTTTTTTTCTACGAAAAACATGATGGCCTCTTTTTAACTGAATTTTTAGGTAACCCATGATTTTCTCTAATTGTACCGCATATTATTATCTTCCTGGAAAGCAAATGCTCTGCTAATTCAACACTATTATAATAGTTATCCATGTAAACATGGTACCAAATATTTTCATATTTATTAAAAGATTTTTTACAAGATTTTGCAACTTTTATCCACTTCCGTTGTAAAATTTAAAGTTCGTTATCACCTTGCGATTCGCATAATATTCTGATAAGCATACCATTCTTAGTTACCTTGAATGGGTTGTAGACTTGTAGAGATTTAAACGGCCTCTGTAGGGTGCCATTGCCTCATTCAATGAAAGATTTTGTTTGCGTTTATAAACTGTGCCAAAATTATTTAAAAATATTCTGTTATTCGTTCAATTTTGAAGAGCCGATCTGCGTTTTCTGGTCTTTCATCATTATTACAAAAATGTAATGACTGTAATATTTGTCTAAACTTATTTTGAGGCATAACTTTGCCAGAAATTGGTGTTTCAATATGGAGATCAGCAGACCAATAATCTTTTATACTACTTTTTCTTACCTGCCAAATTAAAATATTCAAACTAAGAAACTTCTTTTGTGAATATTTGTTTGTTTCCTTTACTAATAATTTTAAAAAGTCATCGCCAATAAACATGTCCACTGTATCTTGTCTATTTTCAGGATTTTTTGGAAAAACTTTAACACTATCATTAACCAAAAATGCATTTATATTGATATCACTATCATTTTCGGACCAGTGTGTAGTTGTATTGTTTTCGTTTTCAAACGCTGTACCATCGAAATCGCTACTCTCAGAATCACTTACCATAGGTAAAACCTTTCTTTTAGTATTGATTACAATGTCTGAATCATCGCTCTCATCTGTATCATTTTCATCCCCAGATAAATACCAGCATAAAACTCATCATTGCGAATATTATTCCATTGAAAATCGTCTTCTTCCATTATAATAAATTAATCTATATTTATTTAAAAACTGATAAAAAAACACTTAAAATAAATCGACTGTTTGATGTCACAAAGTTATTCTGTCAAAAAACGTACTACTACGTCAGCAGCTACTTGATTTTAAATAAAAAATGACGTATTATTACGTCAGCGCCTACTAGATTTTGAACAAAAAATAACGTATTACTACGTCAGCGGCTACTGAATTTCTTTAAGTTAATATCATTACGAACATTAGTTAGCATATAAAACCCAGGAGTCAGGAAGCAAAAAGTAAAACAGGTCATTTATATATAATGTCAATAAAATGGGACCCAATAGGGATCCCACGATTCCCATACTTGTTGTGAGATACTGTCCCCTAAAGTCATAAAAACCTTGTAGTTTCTTTAGTAGCATTTTATAATTGACAGAAGGCCTTGCTAGGGTCGCATAGAATGATGGATACTCCGGCACCCTTCTCAAGACCGCCAACAACCTGGTCAATGAGTGATGGTATAGCATCTATACTGGAGAGACTAAGTCTAGAGTGAAACCGCTTAGGGTACAGGAGATTATTAGATTGCAGGTAATTAACAATACGAGACTTCAGAATGAGTTGAAATAATTTTCCAACGATGGAAATTTAGATTTTAAAGTTTTAGGGTCATGTTTTATGACTTCCCTAGGAAGGTTTCACGGCTGATGTAAAAAGTTATTAAACTGGTTAGAATTTATGTTTGTGCAAAAATCTTTTCTGTTTTTATTAAGTTCATAATTAACCAATTTCCAGCTATCTTTAATTTCATTATTAGAGTTACCAATACAACCGCCGTAGGCCTGTATCTTCGATACTTTTATTTTATGCAGATATCTTTTACGAAATGTATTGAAACCAACTTTTGACCTTACGTCATTCCTGTGATCCTGAACTGCCTTTAAGGACTTAAGTGTGCTTTTTATGCACCTAGGTTCATGAGTGGCAGGTGATTTTTAATTTAAGAATCTTTGTAATACGTCTACGCGTAAGGCCATATTTGGCAGGAATGGCTTTTTACTTAGAGGAAAATATGGCGGCACTTCCAATCTTAATTGATTAAAATGTTTGTATGTGTTATTTCCTATTAATTATGTAATTCTGTATCTGACGTGCATAAAACAATTGTTCTGTTGATGACATGAAACAAAATATAATCTAATCTACAAATCGTAAATTGTCGGGTGAAAATTTTACGCACAACCTGGAAGCAGTGCAATAGCAAAGCTTAGGTAGGTCACAAAAAACCACTAGCGTTTAATTACTATTTTTTATTTCTTTTATTGTAATATTCATGACATTCGACTCGTTGATTCTTAAACGTTACATAATAATTTATACAAAATACAATACCTTGTTTTATTTCTTGTAAAAAAACGTTAATAACGACTCTAATCCTAACTTAACCACGGTAAGATCTCAGGTTACTTTAACCTATAAAGTCCCACTCCTCGAATGGATCCAACGTTTACACCTTTTTCTGCAAACAAAATTAAGCTTCATCATCATTGCACGCTCCAGAGACATTTCTTAGAAACTCAACAGTAATGGACGATCATTACACAACTTACCGTCGATCTTTCTTTGCTGTACGCCTCCGTGCAGATGTTCCTGGCGTTCCAACCGTTGATCATTTTGCATTCACAATCGAGTCCCTGTTCAAGATTGATCAACTGATCGACGATGTTGGTCGCCGCTATATGCACGAACTGCTTTTGGTCGGCCTTGTTGCCTAGGAAGTTGTTGTTGACGAACACGTTGCCGCGATTCTGCCAAAGAAAACATTTTTGCTCACTGCTGGGGTAGTTAGTAGTTTTGCCAAGTTGTCGAAAATTTTTGATCTGATCACACTTTCCAAATAATGCGAAAAAGTTTTCCACAGGTATTTAAACAAGAAATAGGCCGAATTGGTTCAATATCAAATGTTTGTAAGAAAAATTGATCTATTCACTCACCGCTAGAGTAAAGTCCACGCAGAAATCTTCATAGTTCAGCTCTTTGTGCAGTTCGGCGCTTCCTCGGGGGCTCTTCTTACCCTGGGACACTGTAAACACGTTCTCTCCGTTGAACCCTACTATGTCCTTCACCTTCTTGTTATCCTTGAGCGTCAGCGTCTCAAACGGCGTGAACAGGTTCAGGCTGATCTGGTTGTTACGGTAAAGAGCAGTCCTCAGCTTTTGCAACTGAAACAATCAATGTGGTTATTTTTCATCTTCTTTATCCAAATTAATTGTTAAATATGTCTAGTTGGATTGCTTAATTTTGTTTAAAATTCAGTTTGAAATCATATTAACTTGTTCCAAGTGCCAAAGAATGTACTTTTTAAAGATATTAAAAAAACTAAAGAAATTTCGGATATGTTTGTGCATTACATCATCGAATCGGATGCGTAACCACTCTCTCTACCTCGTATGTTGCTATTTTTTTGCCCTAATCGCACCGACACTATCCAGGAAATAATCGCCAACATCAACATACAACAGCAACCATCAACAACACACCTGTTGTCAATGCAATATCTATCATTACAGCAATAACAACAGCAAAAAATAAGAACGACATAAAACCCATGAAAAGCCCTCTTCATGATCCAAAAAGGCGAAAGCAAATTCCGAAACTGGAACATATGCCAGTTCTAGCCAAAGTAGCGGTGAATACAATGAGAGAAATAATGCAACTTCAAGCACAGAGTATAGCAGTGGGGAAAACTTTCCATTTCGGTGGCATTTATGCAATAAGATTGGACATAAAAGAGCATATTGTCCTATGAATTAGTACAAAAGGGGTAGTTACCGTGGCGGAAGAGGAGGTTTTGGAAGAAGAAACTCGAATCAGAGGAATACTGCTAATAATAGAAACGAAACTACTGACGTGGAAGAAGAAAACATTTCATTTTTGACGCCAGAAAATTCATTATCCGTATCAAATCAACAGCATAAGTTTTGTGATTGACAGTGGGGCAACAAATCATTTGATCAAAGAAAATTTTTTAGGACACTGCAAAGAAATTGAGCATAAAATTAATGTGGCAAAATAGGGACAGACAATAGCAGCAACAAAACAGGGAAATCTAGAGGTAGAAACAGAATTTGGAAGAAATTACAATTAAGAATGTGTGGGTTTGTAAAAATTTACTTTACAATTTATTGTCAGTGAGGACATTAGAAGAAAGTGGGCTAGAAGTGAATTTTAGAAAAGAAAAAGTAAGCATGGCAAAAAAAAAGTATGTGTCTTGGAAAGAAAATTAAAACGAAAACTCTATTTTGTTAACTTCAACTTAAATGCTTCCCATCTCCGAGACCGAAGACCTAAGGCATCTCAGCAAGACACAAAATGTTGGTTTCAAACTTGTTAAAAGTACAATTCTGATTCTGATTTTGGAAACAACATTTTAGACAGAAGAAGTATTACTGGATTTCTAATCAAAATTAATTATAATATTGTAGAATGGAAAACTCGATTGACGGTTTCACTTGTGTGTTGAAGTTAGTTTTTCAAATTTTTGAATGTTATTCTGGGTAGAAGATAAAAGTGTTTTTTTAGCTTTGTTTTTGTTTGTTTGAAATATTACAAGCTATACAACACCTATATTCTACCTAAGCTGGAATAGGCTCAGAATATCAAGGGTCCATACTATGCCAACGACATTCAAGGTCATAACAAGAAGGTTTCTAAATAAAAATGCGCCAAATCACTAAGAAACAATTTTTTCTTCAATTGAAGAAAAATGAAGAAACTATACCCTCAATGTTGATCGAGATGAAACAAATCTTTTATCGACTAAGCTTTCTAAAAAAAGAACTCACCGCAACGCGCCGCTTATGTAGTGTTTTCAATTATAATTAGAATAATAATAAATAACAAATAATAAATAAATAATCATAATAAATAAATAATTATGTCATATCTGCTTTTTAATGCTCCTTTGGAATAGTTAAATGGACCCTCGAAGCAATAAACAGAAAGATAAGAACAGAATTTAAAAAATACAGAAAACAATATCCAAACCAGTCTGGTGAAAGAATAAATCTACCAAAAGAAGAGGAAGAGCGATAAAAAATGCTGTGGACACCTGCAGTCGATAAGTTATAGGATTCAGAAATTTTTTCCATCACCAAACCGTGAAGTTCAGAGAGCGTGAGAGCGGATACACCTCTAAACTTAAGCGTGAACAATTTTAACCCATTTGATACAAAAACTGACCATAACAAAGTTCAAAAGTAGCGTTCAAAAGAACTGCATGGTAGATCTAGTAGATCAAAGTAAATCAATGGAATGGCTAAAGACTGGAACGCTTTTTCCTGAAACTGAAGGGTTTATGATTGATATACAAGATCAGATTATTAAAACAAGAAACTAAAAAGTATACCGTTAAGGAAGGAATACCAATAGATAGGTGCAACAAGTCCAACAAGACCGTGGAACATATATTATTTAGCTGTGAAAACCTGGCAACAAATAAATATCTAGAACGGCACAATAAAGTTGCTCCAATAGGATAGTTAGAAATACTGAAACAATTTAAACTTGAGCCTCAAACCAACGAGTCACACCTCAAGTATAAACCACCCCCGGTTGTAGAAAATATGAATGTTAAGATCTATTGGGATAAAACCATCATGACAGACATAACAGTAAGAGAGAACAGGCCGGAATATTACAGTTATTAAACAATCCAAGCAAGCTAATTGACATTGCGGTCGCAAATAAATCTAACACAGAAAACAAATATAATGAAAAACTGCACAGATATGCTGACCTACGAGATAATTAAAGAGCTATGAAATTTCGAAGAAGTCAACATCATTTCGGTTGTGTTGTGATGTATAGGATGTTAATATTCAACCTAGTTAACCTACTGAACCTAGGTTGTAGTCTGTAGTCCTGAATGCGACAAATATCGTGAGATCATTTCTAGAATCGAGACACGAAAGTCTTACCGTTTAGGCCGAATTCCTCTGAAACACCCGATATAAAAGCCGAAGTTAGGGGATAGTAGTAATAATAAAATAATAACTCTTACCGGATATAATCGTCCCACTTTGCATGGGTTCCCGACTACTGCCACGATCGATTTGACCGCGTTCGCTCTGAAAGGATAGTTGATGCCTTCCTCGTAGGTCCTCGCCTGGAGATCAAGCCCAGCGGCCAATTCCACGTCTTTGAAGATCTCCGACAGGGCTTCGCTAAGCTTCTGCACGTTCTCAGAGGTTCCGGCCAGCTTCAGGGGCTCGTCGCTCTGCGGGTCCTGTCCAAACTTAATGTGGGGCGCTTTTCCGCCCTTGAAGGTGAGCTTGCCGTTGACGGTTACGTGACTCGGCCACTGGTTCTCGCCCCCGTAAGTGATGAGATGAAACTCGACGTCGCTAAAGTGTTAAATAACATTTTTTTTAAACAAATCTTCACAATATTTTAGAAATATCACTAAGTACTGACTAAAGCCCCGGACGTCGACGTAACCAACCTTGAATAAGTGACAAAGTATGTATAATAGATCACTGCCCCACGAAAGCGTTCAAGGGCTACCAAAAATAAAATATGGGTTTTAGTTTTCCCAAAAAAGTCAGATTTTATGACATTTGTCAGAATATCTGAGAAACCAGTCGTATCGCTTTTAACATTATTACGTTTGAAAAATTGATTTCTTCATTCAATAAAAGTTTTAATTAAATTAAGCATACTTCCGGTAATTCCCAAGTTTTCCAATGTGTTGAACTACCTTTAATATAATGCTGCCGGAATTAGCCCGGATCAACTGTGTTTGCAATGTATTAATACACATAAAAATGCTTCATGCGTCTAACTCATTTGGAAAAACACTTCTAGAAGTCGCGCTATATACTAGCTGAGTTAAACTTTTTGTCATACTTTCATTTAATACTTTAACTGTGACTTCACAGTCTGGTACTGTGTTGTTTAGTTCTTTTAGATTCAGTATAATTTCGCGGACTTCACTTATTTGTCAGCCGTTGGGTCTTTCGATGGCCATCTCGTTTTCCGCAGCCATCAAAATAAAATATATCTTTTATTATTTCTTTTAGAGAAAAATGTTAAACACAAAAGTTATAGATGAGACTTAAAGAAACAATTTAAAATTATATACAGGGTGACTCATAAATATTTGGGAAATCAAACGTATATATTTTTAATTGGAACACCCTGCATAATATGGCATACTCAGTTTTAAACTCAATTATCAAATGCAGGAGTGTTATGGTGTATACTGAGTGTTTCCGGAGTTCTGACAGCTTTAATTTATTATACTAACAATGTTAATTGACGAACTCAACAATAGCCAGATTGGCGAGAAAAGTAGCCTGTATAATTTATAGGAAAACGATTGAGACCTTAATTTAGTATATGTTTGATCGCACTTATAGTCCCGGATTATGAGGGGAGCCGACCGGATGAGACCAATTTGATAAATTTCAAGCAAGTATATAATAAATGACAGTACCACTTTATAAAATTATTGGCATAGGGATAGTCGCTACAGCTATGGGAAACGGCGCACACAGGCGAATTTTCCTCAAAAGTTGGCCAGAAGTCAGAAAATCCAACTTAAAAATCTTGAGCTAAATCCATTACATTTCAGTGATCTAGTTACCTAGCTATTATAAATAAATAAACTTTTGTTTTGATTCGCGTTGCTACGCGCCATATTGTTATTGAAGCTTGAAAGTTTATTAATTTGTATTCATTTAATCAGAGTGCACTGTGTATTTAACCATTTTTTCGAAAGTTGGTGATTGAAAAATAATAAAATTATAGTATGGAGCCTATTGCTAGTGGTAAGTACAAGCATCATCTATGAATTGTTTTAATGGCACAATGGCGTCCCTTCTTAAAATACATTAATGTTTCGTTTTCTTTGGACAAAAAGTATATTTCTCCGCGTTTCCCCATTTTCAAATTAGCATAGAACTCTTACTTAACTCATTTATGCGATAATTTGCTATCTTAATGGGTATCTATTTTTCAAGAAGTGCTGTCAGTGCTGGTATATATTTTTAATTTTGGTAAAATTTACTATTGTAGGGTTTTTGAACATGCAAAATTGAAAAATGCTAATGGCAATATTGCCAGATTTACAGCTTTTTGAGAAGAAATATTTATATCCTAGACTATTAAGTGTTTTTTGACTAATGGATGACATATAGCATACATGACAGTCTCAAATCTGTGTTTGCCCTGTGTCACTTTAAAAATTTGTGACACAGAAAGTCATTAGGTATCTAATCAATTTTTTTTTTATAATAGACCATGAATTATGAGATATGTTTTTGTACTAGATTTTCATAGACGCAACTGTACAAATTCCAATGGTCCATAAAAAGACTTGTCATAACAAGTTCTGCTTGTTTATTTCCCTAAATAATAAGATTATACTTGCGAAATTCTTAATACTCAAAGTACTCAAATATCAATATCTGATCTTCGTTTTTACCCCTTTTCTCTAAAATATTTATGATTATCTTTTTGTAATATTGCTTTTGTAATTACATATACACAATTATAATTCCAGGTTAAAATTAGAACGGTTGTATGTTTTTCTTCAATAACACACACTGTTGGTGTTGTTAAAATATGTTTTAATAACTGTCACTGAAAAATAAATGAATTACGTAAAAATATGAACAAGAAACTAAATTAAAAATGTTCTAACGTCATTCTAAAAAAAAAATTATTAATTTAATTTAATTTATGTACGACTTTTGACCACACTGTATATTTTTACGTGTAACGGAATAATAGTGTAAAGTACTGTATTATCATTAAAATTTATACTTTTTTTAAAATAAATTCATTATTCATCATTTTTAGATATTTTTTTAAGATAAATATTATTGGCCAGCATTTTGATCAAATTCGCCTGTGTGCGGCGTCAAAAATAGAGCATAACAGCCCTACATTGTGTGATTGAGTATAAAAGGAAGTATCTACTAATGCATCGTGTATTACGTTTCAAAAAATATAACTTCCTACATATTTATGAAAAACACAGTATGTTTGATAATAATTTTAAATTATTCTTCTATTCTTATCTATAGCTTTTGTATTGTTTTTTTTATAAACAAAAAGATTATTTACGCACTATTTGGACACCCTCCCTTGGATGTCACAAACAATACTATGCAACGTTGCGGGCAAAATGGTCATTAATATAATCAGCAATTTTCTTTTGTTTATTTATTCCTACATTATTTGCGATAATACCACTATTTCATTAGTTTTATCTAGAAGGTTAATAAAACCCCACTGGTTTTATCTCACTTACTTACTGACTTAGTTTTTGATTTAATTAAATTGATTTTCTATGATCTATGATATGATTATCCGGACACTCACTCGATCCCTTTGGAGTGGAGTTCTTTCCCTAAATTCTGGACCAACGGCTGCACCAGGTTCTTGTACAGCTCTTCGTTCTCTGCCTTGGTGTCGATCAGCAACACGATGTCGGCCGCTTGGGATGGCAGCTTGACGCTGAAGGTGTCACCCACGCCGTAAGGCTTTTCCGCGTTGTGGCACTTGACGAGTTCTTCGGGCAGCGATATGGGGATGTTCCTCTGGTTGCAAAGGGCGACGTAAGCACTGGCAATTGCCTCTTCTGTCCTTTCGACTTTCGCGGCAAGGCCGTGCGAACACGCGATCTTGAAGTTCTCGGTGGAGACAAACGGGTAACAGTATCGCATAGGCGATTTCCAGCTGAAGAGCTCGGCGCATTTCGGGTCCTCCGGTACCTAAATGGAAGGACCGTTGATAATAATAATAGTTATCTCAAAAAATCCCCGTTTAGCGAACAGGAAATATCTTATACAACAAGATAAAAAAGTCCTAAGTGAAGCCAGCAGAAATGGGACCAATAAATTTTTCACATACTTCTGATGATTTCTTTAGTGAGAATTATACGTGATTTTTTTTATTCGAAGTAAAAAAAAAAGAAAACAGTGAAAATAATTTTAAAAATATAAAGTGCTTTCAGCCAATACTTGGCGAACTACTTTCGCAAGAATATGATATTCCGGAAAATAGTTCTATAAAAAATGTAGAAATCCTTGGTTATTGATACTCAACTCGCTCTAAGATGTAGCCTACTTAATATAAACAACAAATATGAAGCTACAAATTTAATAAAGAAACATTTTTTCAGAGAATCCAGTCAGAAATTAGGGGTTTCAGTCGTACGTAGTACTATTTTTACAAAAGCTAAACTACATTTTTCAATGAAACTTCCGCAGGCTACTATAATACTATTTACAAATCTTCTGGATTCCTGCTGCGTCAATTGTTTATAAATCAAATTTGCGACGTTTCGCCAAACATCCTATTGACTTCTTCTAATCTGTACCTCGTTTAATATCGTTGTTTATGCGGATCTAAAGGAGGAACATTGTCTAGGATATTGATACCCAAATTGATGAGTCGCGGCCAGATTTCTATAGATTCTTGGATTATTCGTTGGAAGAGGAATTGATTCACAACATCGCTGACCATATAAAGTTCTTAAGAGGTATAACGTCAAAAACAGATTTACCACTTGTCCAAAAATATCTCAACATGTTCGATGGGTTAAAGACAAAATTCCATTTGAGATGCCAGGACTTTACAGCCTCCGTCCTCAGAATTTTAGTCTGTACCAAGTTTCATTATTAGATTAGGAATATCGGTTCAATAAACAAGTGAACCACTTTGTTCAAAACAAAATAAAAATCTTCTCTCGCGCGTCCTACAATTTTAACGTCTTATACCAGAAAATTTTTATTTATTTAAGTCTAGATGCTAACTAAAATTTCTGAAAGATCCTTAGGTAAACCTAAGTTTCTAAGTCATAAAGTTCTGTGATTGTGATTGTGAAAATAACTGTGGTTGCTGAGAAACCGTCCATATATCACACAACCTTCCAACAGAAATGAAGCCGAAAGCACACTTATTTATGCCCCTCCTTTTGTTTCGCCACCTCTAACGATATATAAGCAGTGACAGCAGAATACGATCCAGTTTCAGTTAAGGTCTGGAGAAGGCAACAGTAACAAGTTTGATTTATTAACAACCGACAGAAGTTTTGTAAATTGCGGAAGTTGCTTGGAAAAATTTACTTTGAAATTCGAATAACGGCTACTCACGTGTTCGTGAGCTGGAGCGGCCACATTGGCACACCCGGACTTTGTCTTGTAGGCGTTTCCGAATTCGCTTTCCGAAGTCACGATCTTGCCGTTGGGCAAGGTGAAGTCGTCGTAGGGCTCGTTGTTGCCGTTGCCGAGTAGACCCTTGACTTGACCGTGGTAGAAACCGGAAAGGGACACCTCGCATCCGAGCAGATCCGATAGGCAAGCGACGACCACTCCGGCGGTAGAACGCAAAGTGACGATATCGTAGTCTCTGTACGCAGCAATGTCGGGTTTGCGAACCGGCAATTCGGTGGCGACGTTGTTGAGTTTGACCTGCCCGCCCTTTACCAGTGTTATTGAGTCCTTTTGGTCCGCTAAAGTGACGGAGGCAAGGAGACCGTTTTTGTAGGCCGCCGCGACGGTGAAGTTGTTGTTGATGGCGTCGCCGGCCAGCAAGTAGTTACAGGTGCCTGGGAACGTGAGGTGTTTGCCGTCGAAGGTGAAGATGTGCTGACCCTGGATCACCATGCCGTACACTGAAAAAAAATCACGTGAGTACGAAATAAATTCGTGCACATTTCGAGAGTCAAGTTCGGCACAGGTGCTAATATAAGTGTAATTCTTTTAATTTTTTTATTTAGCGTTTGGGATAAAAACATAAATACGAAAGTTGTTCAAAAAAGACAGTAAGCTATTTGCAAGATCTATTATACGCGTAATAAAATGCCCTGAATATTCTGCATATTTCTTGTACAATATGTCCTATAACCCAATCCAATATATTTTTTTAAATATATGCACTTAACATAAAACCAACATTCAAAAATGTAATAAAATTTTAGAATTTATAATTTATGTGTTTGGTGGCTGTGAAGAAGGGCGTCATAAAAAAACAAAATGTTTCTGACAGTGACAGATTTAGCAAAACTTACCTTCTTTTTATTATAAAATTCCTTATTCTGAAAAAGAAAAACAATGAATTTTGGAAACGTTTGTTAAACCAAATAGAGGGCTAAATTGGCTCAAAGGCAACTGCGTGTAATTAACCGCCGATTGCACATTTCAGACAAAAAGCTTTCATCAAATCTGTGAAAATTTTCAACAAACATCCTCCTAGCCAGAAAGAACAAAACATTTCGTATAATATTACATCAAAATGTCCAATCATATACTAATACCTGTATCCTATACCTAAATTAAATAGTTTTATATATAATTATATTTGTTAACTAAATCTAGAATAGACCTTATAAATTGTTCAACTTGTTCCCCATTTTCTTCAATACATCTTACGTATGTTCTCCGTAATCTTTCTAAAACGGCAATGATAGATTAGGAATATTCTTCATTTAGAATTTTAACTTCTGTTCTAATGAAGTTTTTTAGATGCTCTCTGTATGTGCATTTACACAATCTTCCATCCGCGTCAAGACAGGACTGCTGTTATTGTTCCATCCTTTCCATTGCATTCGTTAAACCTTTGATTTAAATGGTCTTTAACAAACACTACACAATGATGGGGAGCGCCGTCTTGTTGAAAAACGGGATTCCTTAGTTGTTTCAATGGAAACTCATCCATATAGCTTTCTAATTCGTCCTGAAGGAAATTTAGACAACCATTACCTTTTAAAATAACGTCAAACAAATGAGGCCAAATTATCCTGTTAAGGACGCTGTCTGCTGTTTTTTCGATTTATAAAAACGATGACTCGTCGGTCGAAAAAACATTTTTTAAATTCGGAGGGTTTGAATCTACCCGTACGATATTTTTAATTAATAAACTCTTCTTTCACGGTTTATGGAATTATTAGGATTTTCTTCAACTCTTAGCAAAGTACTTAAATTACTATCTTCATATCTTCTCAATGTTTTCTTCGTTCTGACTAGGCTGGATGTTTGTTGAGATTTTCATAGATTCGATAAAAGTTTTTTTTTGTATGGAACGTGCATTAACTATTTTAATCTTTCAGAATAAGGCATTTTATAATTCAAAAGAAAGTAGATAAGTTTTGCTGTTTTTTGCGACGACCTACTTCATAGCTACTTATTTTATTTTTGAAAGTTGCTTTCATGAAAAACCATCGGATTTATATTACATTAACCTGGTTTAGCAACAAGATGGAGCACCGAACCATAATACCGATCGAGTTACTGAAAAACTAAATGATAGATATGACCATTGAATAGGTAGACATGTCTTAATTCAATGGACGGCGGCTAACCCCCCGATTTAAACCTCTTTGATATTTTCCTGTGGGTATTTTTAAAAAACTGAGTATACAATTAGACACCTCCAAATATAAGAGTGTTTTATTATCTTTTGATATTGTTGGTATTATGCTCTTGAATTATTAATACTATTGGATAATTAATACTTATTGAAATAAAAAACCCCCAACTGAAGGTTTCAATTTTCCGAACGCCCGGCCATCTTCATCAACATCTATTTAATTAATCAAAAATTTAAAATTACATATTTTAAGAACGGCTAACCCAAATATCAAAAATCAGGAGAAAAACATCTTTCCTCATAAAAGAAAATATGTGGCTTCATTTAAAAATAAAAAAATTGCTACTGTTTCTCAACTTTGCGATGCACATTTCTTTTAATTTACAAGTCTTTAAGATAATACTGGAAAAATTAAGCAAGTGTTATATTCTATTGACTTCCGTTAGCCCCTGTAGGTGGTTACGCAAATATAAAAAGTAACTCTGTAGTGAATATAAAAGTCATATAATAGGAATTTGAAAGCACGCAAATTAAAGTGGTAGGTATAATTAATGTTCGTTCTGAGCACAAAGGTAAACAAATATTACTTACTATAGAAAATACTTGAAAATCATGACATTTTTAGGCCAACAAAGAAAGATTGTTAAAGTTGTCGAATTTGATTCTCGAATTGAGGTAGCTGAGAGGTCTAATGGCAAAATAAGACTTGTTTAGATCTCTCTGATTAAAATGAAAAAATTGTTAGAGAACATTTAAAATTGAATAAATTTTAATAAACCGCCATTTAGAATTTTAGAATTAGAACTGACATGGAAAGTGTTCATATTTGTCATGACGATATGATAGTTTCAAGAAACACCGAAAACCGAAAAATTATCAATTTCTCAAAATTTCCTCCGTTAGAAATGCATGCATGTTTTAAACGCTTAAAAATCCAACTTCAAACTTAATTAAGACTATGAGTTCAATTAAACTCCGAAAGTCGCTGTCTCAAAAATTATTATTTACAAAATGTTACATGTGTTTCGCGCACACGGGCAGCATCAAAAGCGATTTTTTCAAATAATGAAATAACTTAAATAAATTAAGAACACGCACGCGGTTTTGAAAACTAAATTTTTACCCAATGTAAACCTATTATCCTTTTAAAGATTGTATATACTTTGAAGCAGATTTAGTATTTTCAGAACAAAAAAATTGTACCCATTTATTCACTAATACCAATATAACAAAGGAACATTTCGTCAGTAAAAATAGCAATTTGTCATAATATTTTTGAAAAAGAACCAAAGTGTGTCACAGAATATAAACCTTTTTATTTTTATCCATTGTTCATACGATTTTCGTATTCAGACGGGTTATGAAAAAAACATTTATAATCAGTAAAGATTTTTAATACTTTTTGAATTTCTGCTGGTTTACGTTGGTTAAGTTGGCTGCAGTGTTAGGCCATGCGTTTAGATCCTTGAGGGGAAAATTAATACAAATCTATCTCACCTTGCGGTGATTGCGTCTTTCGTGTTCTATGGTTTTGTACTTTGTAATAGAAGAGGTGTGAAACAAATCTCTATTATTTATTTGTGATCAACTAGTTCCTTGAGGAACACATTATGTCGTGGCAAACGGATATAAGTGGATTATGATGCTATTCACACAATCTAGGAATAAGTATAAATAAAACCAAATCCTAAGAGGCAAACAGATGCAAGTGCATTTGTAACCCTTTGCCGCCAAATATTCTGTTGGATCTGTCACAAGTTGACACAGATAGCAGCATTGCTTACAGTTGGTGTGATTAAGATTTTGTGCTCATCGCGAAGTCGAAGAAAAATCATCACATTCGAGACAATTTTCCGGAAATTCGCAATGTTCGGTAATTTATCGTAGAAAAAAAAACTCGTTTACACAATTTTACAACGGATTTCACCAAACTGGGCTTGAAGGGTGGCACGGTTCTGCATCATTTCCAATTAAAACTGCTAAATCGACACATTATTAAATTTTGCAATAAAATGTAGAAGAGAGCGAAGAAGGACGAGATTAGGAATACGATATCTAGCATATTTGAAGCAAATGGGTGTAAGTGACAGCACATCTTACTTCAGTACCATCACCCTCTACAATTTGTTGGCGAAAAACCCTATGTTCCTATACATCGATGAAGAAATGTCGCCAAAGGTCCCACATACCTGCTAGATATTTTAAAAGCGGTTTTCCATATTTGTGCATATTTAACTTTAACTTTGAGCTTGAGCTTTCTGCAAACTTATACGAACCCAGTCGCTTTTGAATTTGAAAAACGCGATATATTAACACAATGTTGAATATCTGAACTAATTTCTACTTATTTAAAATAACTCTAACAAAAACAACAAGATAATTCGCTTCTATATATTATTAACCACTAATCAACAATATTTGTTGTTATATCAGTAATTATAATAAAATATATATATATATATATATATATATATATATATATATATATATATATATATATATATATATATATATATATATATATATATATATATATATATATATATATATATATATATATTGTATTATATCTGGCGCATATCAGTTACGCCATCTCATGCCACATGGACGGATATATTGGTTAAGCGGACCATGGTGACACAAAAAATAATAATAAGATGGTTGGTTAAGGAGTGATCGAACGATATGCGCAATTTCATTGTCGCTGCCAACAAAAATGGAGTTTCTGGCTCAATTATCAAACAAGCAGAGCTGCATCGAAAGACGTAGCTGTAAAATGGTCAATTGGTAGGTGAATTTGCAAAGACACTTGTTTAAGATGTTTAATATGAGTTCTACAAAGTAAGCTAATAACAAAGAGAAGTGGAACGCATAATAAAAATATCCCATTTGTATTTTAGTAGAAGGAAAATACACTTCCTTGTGTAACACATAAACGAAATCAACTTTTTTGGTTAAGGGAGCATAAAACCTGACTACACCATCACCCAATGGAACTCAGTTACTTAAAGCGATGAATCTAAGTTTGAAGTTTTGGTGGACGATTCACGGACGTTAATAATCCGAATGCCAGGGGAAGAATCTGTAATGGTTTGGGGCTGCTCTTCTCAAGGAATTGAACGTCTGTTCTTTATTGATTTAAAGTTATTTTAGAAGAACAATTACTTGCAATTGAAGGAGGATTCGTATTTCAACAGGATTGCGCAGCATCCCACAATTTATACGGGGTACACCCTGCGGTTATAAGCTTGGGGAAGTTGTTTAATAAATGGTTATATAAATTGATTTGAGTCCTATTAAGGGGCTTCCATTCATATCTCGACAATGAAGATGGTTCTAGTGGTACCGTAGTATTTTCTTATGTAGATCAGTTTCTAAAACGTTTTGACAACTTTTTTTCAAATATGGATCTTTTTGACTGTTTGTGTTCTAAGGGCCTTCGGGGAACCTAAACCGTTCAAACAAACCGCATTAGCTTCTCAAAAAATGCTCAATAGCGTTGTTTCATTTATTTGTAATGTCATTTAACAGAAAACAGCGATTCGCGATTTGATAGAATACATCACTATATAATTCCACGAGATCGTCAAGACAAATGTCGTTATTGGCACACAAAAACAATTACGCGTTGTGTAAAATGCGATATTGGCCTTCGTGTTGAGTACTATGTTAGTTAGTTTTTAAAAACAATGTGTTTTGTATTATTTTATTATTGTCATCCTTTTTCCTGACATGCTACATATAGGACGACTATTATTTTTGTGTTTCCGATTTAAAAAATAGTAATAAAAAGGTTTTAGTTTATATTAAATAAACAATTAGAAAAAAAAAGTATTTTTTTTATTTTCTTTGTTTAGGTACAAGTGGGTTAAAACGAAAAGGTGGGTGCACTCAATGGTAATACTTTTTTGTTTTTTATTACTGATATTACTATTTTTGATTATTTGTTAATAGGATATAGCATCAAATTATCTTAGTTGTTTTTGTTGCAAAATGCAACATTAGGTCTTGGTACAATTCAAATGCGACTTGGCTCGTATAACATAAGTACACATCAAACAGACTTACGCGGAAATGGAGCGAACAGCCTCCTCGGGCTCGTCACCAGCGACAACAGGAAATCGCTTATCTCCTTCGAGATGTCGTGCTGGAGCACGAAGGTGATAGGCGACAGCCTGGCGGCTATTAAACGAGGCAAGTTCTTGAAATAGTTGACCGGCCATAGGCGTGAACCTTCGATTTTCGCACCGGGCAGTTCGTAGCCTTCGGCGGAGACGAGACTAGCCAGCTTCCTGACGATGTTGGCGACGGCTTTGCCGAGTTTCTCCAACACCGCGACGTCGTCGACCGGCTGGTTCTTCAGTTTCTTCTCGGCGTAATCAACGATGGTGTCCAGCAACTCGACGATCTCGTTGCGCACGATGAACTCCGCGGGGATGACGTCCTTGATCGTGATGAACACCTCCCGGACGGTGTTGACGATGGCGTCAGCATTCGGCAACCCTTCCTTCAAAAACTGAAACACGCGTTCGAAACCAAGAGCTATCGTGAAGAATGTAAAATAGGCAAATGTTATTTCCAACAATTTTCTGAAATTATAAATATACAAATATATAAATATTGAGTTGACAAAGATACTATAATTTAATGTAGCCTTTAACTTTCACTAATGTATGGCTATTCGCTACTTTAGTCAAGATCAAATTTCTATTTTTAAATTCGATTTCGAGCACTAATTCAATATTTGTGAAGTGAAAAGTTCTAGTCAAATCAAACAAGGCGACAAGGACTGATCTCATCGAAACCAAATAATACGTGTTCGAAACGCTGTTTTGAAATCCAGATTGATAATTGCTAAAAAAAAATCTTTTTATTCAAAAACGATACTTAAGTTTTATAAAAGCATTTTCCAAATATTTTGGAGAAAACCAGCAATAAAGACATCAAGTGCATGTATCATCCTCTGTGAATTGGAACTGTAATTGAGTTGTCCATTTAATTACAAATTTTCTGAATCATCCTGTTGACTTCTTCAGAGCTTAACTGAAACTGAAAGAGCCAACAGGATGGTTGGCGAAATGTCAGCAAGCTCGATTCATCAACAACCGACGCAGGAGGAATTCAGAAGTTTTGTAAATAGTATTAGTCTTGTAACTTCCTCTTGGAAGTTTCTTTGAAAAATTTACTGGTGCATCATTCATCCTCTGTAAAAGATAAGTTAATCGGGTGATAAGAGAGCACTGAATCTCGCTTAAAAATGGTCTCAAATATGTTTTGCTCTTCAAAAGTAAAAAAAAGTAAGTTATTTTATTTTTAGACCTTGTTTCTTTTAATTAGTGATATTTTTCGATCTCATACTTGTTTTTATTTATTATTTATTTTCTATTAGATTCTAAAATTTTCAACAGCTTCTTAAATGATATACTGGTTACGTTTCCCACTCTCATTGACAAATTGCTATGGTTGTTTTTAGTTGTACCCCGAAATTTGAGATTTGTTTTTAATAATTTTAGAAAAATTATTTGAACCGTAGCACAAACTAGCGTAATAAATTTGACTGAAAATTTAAATTTTTCGCTGATTCATTTTTTTCGCTTTTTTAAAATGGAGAGAAAGCCGCAGAAGTATATTGTTTTTTTGTCTTGAAGTGTTTCGGCCTCTAAAAAAATTATGTTTTTCGTTTTCGTATATTTAAAAACCCAAGTATTGGGAGTTGTAGGTGACAGGTTGTCAACCTGGAAAACGGAAGTTCTAGCAAGTTAATTTCACGAAACTATTGACAACATAGAGGCAAGTTTTCTCGGTTGTATTATGCGCCTGCGTTATAGTTCTACCAATCGCCTTGCTGTATTTATATTTTTTTAAATATATAGCGTTATGACCTTGCACCTGCACTTGCACGAAATTCGTGGACGGATTTTTTATTCGACTTGTATCACTTAAACACCATGCTGCACTATCACAAACGAATCAATATTTTGCAAGCAGCCACTATAATAGACGAAAAGCGTAAATAATTCGCTTTCTAACTCGTATCACGCGCACCCTGTATGATAGACTAAAATGGTAAATGCGGAAATTGTAGCTCTTAACGTAGCCTAAAAGAACGTTCAAGCCAAATGGCGCCGTTTGCCACGGTTCAGCGGTTACGGCCAATGATTTACTCCGATAAATGGTAATTTTCAGTTTTTTGCCCATAACTAAGACAGTTTGTCTGAACTATATATACGGTTTTGGAAAAAAAAAACACTTTTTGCGAAGAAAAATTTGAAGCCCATAATAATTCCAACCGTTGAAATCTGACCCGGCTTCAAAAAACTTCCCGATTTTCCGTTACGGAGAACAGAGAATCAGGAACAGAGAACAAAAAATATTTTTTCGATATGCACCGACTTAACGAAAGTCGATTCGTTTTCGATGTTTGTGTTATAATTGAGAAAAACATAAACATGAAAAAGACATTATTTTAAGGCGCTTGAACGGTTCTACGCATGATGTTCTTGGCGCGAAGAGCCTATCAGTTGAGGACATCCATACGAAAAATCCGAATCCGACTCAATTCAAAGAAACATCTACAGGGGCTACTGTAACACATTTTACATATCTTCTGCTACTCGGTTGTTGATTGATCGAACTAGCTGACGTTTCGCCAAGCTTCTTCAGAGCTTAACTCAACCAATAGAAGATTTGAGTCTGTAGGCGTTTCTTCAAAAAATTAACAGGCCTTCGCGTAGACGAGAAGGCCACCGACTGAAACTGGTAAGATCACTTTCAGTTAAGTTCTGATACACGTACCGTCAGCTAGATGGATTCATCATCAACTGACGCAGGAGGAATCCAAAAGATTGTAAACGGTTCTAAAGAGAACGAAGATCAGTGATCAGAAATATCGCCTTATAAGGTAACAATTCTTGTCTATTGAAAATAAATGAATATAGAGCATCTTCAAACTGGACGCTGAAGATTCCACACATGAAAGCGAAAGTGTTAATTCAATAGTTCCCCTAACATAAAAAATGGGTTTTCCTGAGAAGAAATTAATTTCAGGTACTAACCAGTTGATATTGGGCTTTGAGCTCGTCGAAGACGGGAGACGCGTTGATCTCGCTCGCAATCCTACGATACAGCCCTTTGGCGGTCTCCAGCAGGTTCTCTAACGACGCTTGCAGAAATCTGCCGACATCGCGTCCCAATTCGCCGAACGTCGCAGCTAGTTCCTTCAGTTCCGGCTTGTATTGCTCAATTACTTGGGCCAGTTTGGTGAACACCGAGAGGACGATGTCCAATTGGAGATCGAGTATATCTTTAGCGGCCGCCGCCACCCTCGACGCAATCTGTTCGAGCTGCGGCAAGAGTTCCTTCTCGATGGAGTCCACTACACCTACGAACGCGTTTTGCACCGTCTGCGCTATCTTCTCAACCAGCGCGCTGATTTGTTCGATGATCTCCGACGCCGCCGAGATGGCGGTGCCCAGCACTTTAGTCACCGCTTCGCCCAGCTCCTTAATACTCTTATCGTTCAAGATTTCGTCCTTCACCTCTTGCAGTTCTTTCACGTAGAAATTCTTCAGCGGTTGCAGGTTGGGCGTTGCCTTCTTGGTCAGTGCCTTCAACTGTTCCAGTTCTTTGGCGGCGCTCTGACCTAACTGTTTAACTACGCTTTCAGCTTCTTTGGCGTAAGTGGAGGCGATTTCCTTCAGTCTCGCCAGAACCTTTTCGATTTCTTTCGACTCGACATTAAAGTCGGACTTGAGGAAGTCGGCGTCGTCGAGTTTGACGGTTGCGTGGAACAGGTTCGTCTTGGTATTTCCGTCGAGGTAGTCGGAACGAACGTCCGCTATTTGGCTCGGTATCAGACCCGCGTTGAGCTGCAGCTTTTTGGTGGGCGTTTCTGCGAACGAAAATGAAACTTCATCCATGTTACTCACTTGCTTACTGCTTTCCCTTACTCTTAAATCCTAAGCTGTAGGTCAAAGTATTGAAATTCTTGACCTCCAAGCGGCTGACCAGGGGATCGTTCCTGTACGACGACACCTCGGAGTCCACGATGTGGTCTTGGTCTTTGACGCGCAGCTTATGAACGGCTTTTATGAGGTTGACGTTCCACAGTTTCAGCTGGCCGCTGATTTCGTTCGGCGCCCATTTACCGGAAAGGACGTTGTCGTAGTCGGACTTTCCGACCTTGTACCTGAGTTTGCTTTCGTAAGTCAACACTTTGCCGACCTTGTCGCCTCTCAGGATTTCCGACCCGTCGATGTTAATGCCCAGTCCCTGACTCTTAATATTCAGGTGCAGTTTAGCGGTTCCCTTAGTTCTCGCGTCGTCTATTTCCATTTGCCTGGTGTAAGTCGTCACAATCTTCTGGTCGGCTTTGGCGAAGACATCCAACTCTCCTACAATTTCCAATTTGCCATTGTACGGGTCACCAACCCTCGTAGCCACAAAGGACGCAAGCAGAGGCTGTAAAATTAAAAACAGTAAACGTCAACATTGCCTAAAGTACCGTGATTACCTTTGGCAGTCCTTGGTGGGTGAACTTGGTTTCTCCGGCAATTTTCCCCTTAGGATCAACCTCCACGAACCAAGTCAATGCGGTTTTCTTGTTAGGGTTGTTCTTCTTGTCGATGAAAAAGGCGACCTCGCCCTCGCCTCTCCCACCCTCCCTGATGTTATGGGGGTAGTCGAATTTACCTTCCAAAGAGACTATGCGCTTGGGAGTGGTCAAGGTCACTCCCGATTCTTTCGGATGAATATAGAAACTGTACTGGTATTTGCTGTTCTCCTTGTTTTCGAAATGGGCGTCGACGGTGTGATCTACTATCCAACCCTTCCTGCTGGTTTCCGACTTCAGGCCGAACTCGTGGGACAGGCCCAGTTTGCGCAGGTCCAGGTTGATTTCCAGCACACTGTCAAAGTTTTCGACGTCGTTCACGTTGATCTTGTTGTCGATTTCGACGGAGGCGCACTCTTTCTTCTCCTCACAGTAAGACGTCTGCGCGCGGAACTGCTTGTTGGAAATCTTAAAGTCAGCGTCCACTGCCCTGTTGCCCAGTACCAGGTCAAAAGACACCTCGGAACCGAGCTCGCTGTTCTTCTCGGGCGTGAGATGTTGCATGATGTACTTGAAGTTGCCCGACTTGGTCTCCTCGCCCACTTTGAAAGTGCCTGAACCTTCGGCTATGTATTTGCCGTTTTCATCCCTTGTTCTATAATCTGTGCTGCCCGAGACGTAGTTTTTGTCCGCCTGCTTGATATTGATTTCGATTTTTCCCGCACCTTTGTTCTTGAATTCGAACGCTGCTTTGTTCACTTTCAGCGTTGGAGAATGGAGGTGTCCTTTGATGACGAAATGCTCGATATTGCCCACATTGACGTCCAGATCCGCGTCCAGTTTCAGCTGCTTGAAGGTCTCGTCGAGCAGTTTGACTTCTCCTCCGAACTGCTTCTCGCTGACGCGGTTCACTTTCAGGTACACCTCGCTTCTCTTGCCTTCGGGCGTAAGAAACTTGATGTCGATCACTGGCGCGAGATCGCTGATCACAAGGTCCGTGGTCAACTTGAACTCCTTGCCTTCGACGCTCAACCGAGCCAGGCTGTTGATTTCCTTGTGATCAGGCGACCTCTTGGTCTCGACGTTCAATTCGGCGTTCTTGTAGCCTTCGACCGGGGTCTGCAAGACAGTTCTGAGCTTGTAGCGGTGGTCGGCACTCCTCGAGAGGTCTCCTTCAATCTTCACCACTTTCCCGTCGCCGTATTTAACGCTGACGCCGCCCCTCAACTCTTCGTTCTTGTCGTCGACGCCGTAACTGGCTTCGATTGCGATCGGATCGCTCTTGCCTATGTTAAGTTTCAGTTCGCCGGTCTTGGGACTTGCCCTGATCGTCAGATCGCTATTAACTTTCGCGACCAGGGCTTGGGTATCGGCGAAAATATTGGCTGTGCCCTGCACTAGCACTTGATTGGCAGGGTTTTCCGGTTTAGTCAGTGAGCCGGACAACTCGACCTTGGTCGATTTCACCAGATTACTCTCCGACTTCAGATCCAGGTTGAAGCTGCCCGATAGGGGTTTGGCCCCGCCTCCCAAGTCAAGTCGACCTTTGACGTCTAACGCGTTGGCAGCGCCGTAACTTGCTTTCGTCTCATAGTTTCCGGAAGTTTTGTCGACGTGGCCCGTGAAGCTGCTTTCCAACGGGTTTTTGAGCATACTGCCGTAGATTTTGGTGTCGAATTGAATCTGGAGGGTGTCGCCTTTCGGCAGCCTCTTCAGCGAAACGTCGGCGTTGATGTTTTGACCGTTGCTGTCGTCCGCCGACAAAGTACCGTCTACGTCCAGAATACCCTCCTTGGGGTTGGTGTTCCTCCAGTTCGATTTCAGGCTGACCTTTCTGCCCGGAGAGTTTTTGTTTTTCCTGTACTCGAGACTGCCCTGAGTGTGGCCGTCGAGCAAGTCATTGGCGGCTTTGTGCTCGCAATTGAACTTGGATAAGAAATACTGCTCGCTCGGCAGCGTAACGTCGATTTCTCCGCTCGCCTTGCCGGTCCTCTCGTCGCCAGTCTTCGACAGTTTCGCGTTGACCTCCAGCTTGCTGCCGAAGAAATCAAGGTTATTGCTGGTATCCAAGTCGGTTTCCGACAGCTTGGTTTGCGTAATCACTGACAGTTTCAGGTTTTTATCCTTGCCGTAGGACGGATAAAGGTTCGCAGTAAGCCCGAACGTATTCGGCAGCTGAATCTTGAACGTGGCGTCCGCTTTGATTTGTCGCTTGCCGCGCAAATCGACCAAAATGTCGCCTGATCCGACTCCTTTCTGCGATTTCACTTGCCCGTTAATCGTAACCACGTCTTTGACGTTCACTTTTAGGCTGCCGTTTGCGTCGCCGTCCTTATTGGCCTTTAGGAACCCATCAACGATGATGTCGCTGCCGGAAGTGATCTTCTGGTGTGCGTCCAACTCCAATGCGTTCACTTTGAGACCATGGCTGACCTTGATGGGAGTGCTGTGTGTTGGCAGTTTCAGGGTGACTTCGGCTCCAATGTCGATGTGTTGGGGCCTCACGACATGCCTCACTTTACCGTCGACCTCGATTTTCTTGTCATTCAGCTGCAGGGTGTGACTGATCTTGCTCTCCTCAGCGGACAACACTTGGCGCCTCGACTTGATTTCCAACTTGTTGTCCAGGCCCCACACTTCGAATTCGATCTCGTAGTCACCCTTCGTTTTCTTATTGACGTTGGCCTCCAACTCGGAACCGAGTTTCAAGTCACCATACTCGACACTGATGTCGTAGTCGAGGCTCTTCGGGGTCTGCTCGAACTCCAGTTTGCCGCTGACGCCAAACAGCGGGTAAGTGAGCTTGTTCTTGGTCTCGATCTTAAAGTCGTCCACCGAGTTGTACTTTTTCAGGAAGCTGTTGGTTATGGTCAGGATATTCGTCTTAGAGCTCAGGTCCGGACCGTGGACGAGCCGGATCGAGCTGTCCAGCTCGTTAGGCAGCTTCTTCAGCTCGCCCTTGAGGTTAAAGTTCGCGTTGCTGTTAAAACTGTTCTGGAGCTCGACGTTGAACTTGAATTGTTCGCTGGTTGCTTGGAGACGACCTTTGAACGCGGCCGAATTGACGCCGTCAGAGACGGTCAGGTCGCCGAAAATCGCCCCGCCCTCTTTGCCAATATTGCCGTTGACGCTGACCGTCTTGTCCGCGGTCACCAGCCTAACGTTGTCGAAGATGTATTTGACGTTGCCGCCGTCCGTTTCCGCAATTATCTGACCCTCCACATTAACCGGCAACGGCTGACTGCCATCGGGAGTTTTGTACTCGAGGATGGGCCTGTACGCGCTCCTCTCCGGCGTCCCCGAGATACCGACGCCCAACTTCCCCGAGAACTCATCCTTGTCGTGGGTGACGCGTACCAGTATCGACTTTTCCACGTTGGTCGATACGATCCTAGCTTCAGCGGAAGCGGACTTGATAGGAGAGCTGAAAACCGCCTTGAGAAACTTTTCGGGGGAATATTCCGCCGTCAGTTCCAGAGCCACTTTCCTCTTTTGGTCTTTGCCGATGGTTTCGAGGATGATATCAGCGTGCGTCGGAGGTTCCTTCACGATTTCCTTTATGTGGTATTCGAACACGTCATCGTTCTCTACGGTGACGGCGATCTTGGCATCCCCGGCCAACGGGAAAGGTAAGATGGGTATCTGCTGACCGCCCAGATTCGGTCCATTGACTTCCGCGCAAATCGTCAACCCTATGAACGGACTCAGCTGGTCGAGACAGATCGAGAAGTCTTTCACTTGCGTGAACTTCAACGGCAAGTTATTCTCCGCTCCGCTCTGTTCTCTGGTGTGGAAAACGATCTCGTGGTTGACCGAGATCAGTTTCTGTTCTTGTACGGGCAAACCGAGCTTGAGGTCGAAGCCGCTGCCTTGGTCGGGCCACGACAGGGACAGGTCCGCTCCTGAAGACGAGTACAGAGTGGAAACAACCTTTAATCCATTTTCGAGTGTTAGCGCGTCGAGAGTCAGCCTGCCGGACACCTGAACGTTGGTGCTTGGGATTAGTTTGACCTTGACGCTGCTGCCTTTGGGCGTGCGCAAGAGCTGGCGCAGGTTGATGTTGCCTTGGGCTTTGATTTGAGTACTCGCGGTACCTTCCACAGCCAAGCGCAGGGGGAAGCCCAGAGACGTCGGATAGTCGATCTCGGCGTCGAGGAACAATAAGTTGGAGCGGATTGTGTGCTGGAAGCTCTTCAGCTCGTCCAGGCCCTTGTTCAACGCGTCCACGATTTTATCGATGATGGCTTCGGGGGTGAGCTTGTCGGTGCTGTAAATATTCCAGAACTCCACCTCGGACCCCAAAACCTTTAGGCTGACATCTAGGTCGAGGTCCTTGTTCAACTCGTTCGTCCTGATTTTGATTTTTTCTGCGATGTCTTTGATCTCGGCGTCGCTGACGTCGCGCTTATTCCTCTTCGATTCCTCCTTGAGCTTGTTTTCTAGGTACTCCGCGATCTTCTCGTACTGCTCCTTGCCCCGGCCCACCAGGTTCCTCAACGAGGAGCTCCTGAGGATACCTTTCGGTCCCAGATAATGTTCGAACAACTTGTCCAGATTTTCTTGTCTCGTCTCGATTTCAAGGAAGTTGAAGTTGTGGCCGAAGATTTCCGCCGTGAGGTTCAGACTAGATGACCTGGGCAGCCAGGAGTTTTGCGAGTAAATCACGTTCGTTTCGGTGGTGGCGGCCAGACCGAGGGTGTCCACCGCGTAAGAGAACTCGCTGTTGAAGGACCACTTGCGAGGGTCGATGGGGAACCGCTTGGGGATGACGAAGCCGAGGTACTGCTTCGCGAGCACTTTGTCTGGACTCGCAGACGAACGGATATTCCTTATATGGGACGCTATGAAGCCGCCCACCTGGATGCTGGGTTCTTTTTCCAATAGCGATTTGATAGCGCTTCCGATTTTGGCGTTGGGGCATTGAGCGAGAGCCAAGTAGGCCTTGATTCTGATCTCCGAATCCTGCTGGATGTCCATCAAAATCTGCAACGCACTATCCCTCAGCTTGTCCTTGCACCCGTCCGCCAGGTAAGCCTCCAACGCGGCCACCCTTATCCTGTTGGCTGCCGATTTATCCTGCGCGATATTCGCCAATTTTTGGATGACATTATCGTTGAGGTGGTGCAGGTTGCCGATCGCTTTGATCGCGTAGACGATGTCGTTTTCCTTCTCCCTCTTGTTCGCCTTGGCGGCCACTTTGGAAAGGAGCTTGTCTGACAGAGCTTTGACCGCGGGCACGTCATGACACGGATGCTGGCGGCAAAATTTGGCGGCCAAGTTGCCGACCCCAAGGTAAGCGACGCGGGGCAATTTCGGAGCGTCCAGAAGCTTGATGGCGGTGTTGAGCGAGTCCTCGCTTGCATGGCGCACGAAGCTCAGCCCGACGTAGGCCAGTTGTTGTTCCACGACGTCAAGTTCGTTCTGGGTGAGGAGCTCGATGACGGCCTCGACGGCGTCGGCGTTACCGGCTCGCAATACCGCGTCAAGATACAGACGTTTGCCGGTTTCTTTATTCTGGAGACCCGCACCCGTCTTGATCTGATTGTAAGCGGTTAGGATGTCGACCTTCTTCGCCGTGCGCACCGTCTTCACCACGTTGACGAACTCCTGGGCGGTGTTCTCGCCGACCACGTCGCCGACGGTTTCCGCCGCTTTTTTAACCGCGTCGAACACAGTTTTTGCGTTGCTGCTCGGGGCGGTTATCGGGTGGGGGTTTTCGAATATGATCGATCTGAAAGGAGCAGATGATATAGAAGTTGATTTCGCAAAAGGTTTATATCAACATCAAAAGAGTTGATAAATGAAAATCTCGGTTGATTTAAACCTTATTTTCATTAGTTGAAGAACAAAAACCGACTTAAAAAGTCTAAATTAAATAACAAGATCTCAAACAACAGTTAAAATCTTCTCTCGCGCGTCGAATGATATGAGATTTTAGCGTCTTATACCAGTAAAAGTCTAGATGCTAAAATTTCTGAAAGATCCTTAGGTAAACCCAAGTCTCTCACTAAATCATTAAGATCTGTGATTGTGATTGTTAAAGTAACTGTGGTTACTGAGAAGCACTCCATATATTACTAAGCGTATCCATCACAACATGAGAGCCTTAAGACTAAGACAAATAAACTCATCAGCAGTTGCGGAACACAATCACGAAACCGGACATAAAATTTTATTGGATAACATTTAAATCCTTGTATGTAATCAATTCATCTACCAACGAAAAATCCGAGAATCTATAGAGATCCATATGCAACTTAACAATCTTAAGGGTGTCTGAAGTCTTTACGTGTTACCAATATGGGAATCAGTCATCCGAGACGGTGTCAAATCAAACTCTGAAAAGGGCAACAGGATGATTGGCGAAATGTTAGCTAATTCGACTCAACAAAAACCGACGCAGCAGGAATCCAGAAGTAAAAATTAAAAATAACTTTGAGTTATATCCTCGAAGCTCGCACCTATTCTGGTTCGAAATTTTTTTTGGATCGGACCTAATTTTCGAACTTTATTGGGTCCCGAAAAAAAATTCATTTTTTTTAATACTTCGCAACATTTGCTTTGTTTTATACTGATTTTCGCTTTCAAAACCCACAAATAGACCCTATCTGACCGCTTCAATATTTTGCGAGCCGCTGCACATCGCCTAGCATTAATACGGAGAAAAACTTGTACCTCTTAGTTCCAACCGTTCCAATGTTAGCCGGCTTCAAAAGCTTCCCAACACCAACTGGCAATAACATTGAAGGTGAATGACATTGATAGAAACCATTATGCTCACAGTATTAAAAAAACAGAAAACGATATTTGTACTAAGACATCTAAAAAATAAGTTTCTCGGACAACTTTAAAGACTGTGTACTTTTCATAGCCATTTGACTAATGGTGTGCTTCATTGGGGTAATTCATGGGATTTTGACTAGGCAGAAGACTGCGGTTCGCATCCTGCATCTCATCGAACTCATTGTCGTGAGCCGCTTATTAACGTTAAAATACTGACCCTGCCTTCACTATTTATTTACTACAACCCTCTCGAGGTCCACGTTGGACTGCTACGACACACGCATCTTTGTTAGGAAATTTAAACTGTCTACTAGAAGTTATCTATTCAGCCACGGTTTTTATTGAATTAATGAATTTTTGTCTCATAATCCATTAATAGAGGGCATTTTTCCATATCTGAACCTTCATTTCTTGTTTAATTATTTATATATATATATATATATATATATATATATATATATATATATATATATATATATATATATATATATATATATGGATACAAATGAATACGAATAAACAACTAACGCAAGATCGTACCTAGGTTTGTTGCATGCCGCTTTGACGCTGTCCTTCGACTGTCCGGTCAGCTGAAGCTTGCTTGTGACCTGCGCCTTGGCGCCGTTATCGCCGACGGAGAATGGCACATACAGATAGTTTTCGGTGACGGTCGCTTGGTCTAAGATGCCGTTCTTGATTCTAAGTTTGGCGCGATAGTTGCCGTTCAAAATCGGGCTCGATTTGACCTCGCTATTGAGGTCGAACGCGGTTGCCAGGAAATCCTGTTGGATGTGCTCTCTGAAAACGAAAGCTACCTGATGGAATCTTCTTTCCATCTTTCACGACGCATTACCGGTAAGAGCATTTGTTGAGGTTCCTGGCTTTCTGGATGACCAAGACGTTGCCCTCTTTGTGGGAGGAAATTTCGTTGGGGCATCGGCCGAAAACATCCGTCTCGTAGCTGGATTTGAGCGAAGCCTGGAATAAGGACGCGATGGCGCGCTTGACGTTGATTGAGTTCTGGTTGTCGCCCTGCTCGACGCAGATGACGTCATCGATGACGCCGTCGTTGACGTTAAGGCGGATCGGCCGCTCTATATCCGGGATAGATCCCTGTTTCTACAAACGAGGAGTGACGGTGCTATCAACCCTTTCGGACTTAAGGTCGTACCTTCCCCTTGGAATCCAACACTTGGACGTTTTCGAGCTTGAGCACCTGGTTACAGTTGGCTTGTTGCGTCAGCAGCACCTGAGCCTTCACTTCGGTGCTGGTCGATTGGCCTTCGGCCGACGATAGGCTGACTTCGATCGTGCCGTCGTAATCATATTTGTAAGTGGTTCCCGCTGCGTATTTAAATGTATGCGACGCTGCGAAATATAAATGGGGTTAGGTTAGCCGTTGAAGGCTAAGATAAGTGGGTGTTACCTCCTTTGCATCCCGCTTTGCATTGTTCTGGAAATAATGAATGTTCTGGATTAGAAAATATATAGATCTTTCTTCTTTCATCCCGTTATTCAGAGCACAATTGAAACTGATTTTCATTCTACCCTGTATCTGCTGTTTGAGTTAAGTGGAGCTGAAGGAGTTACATGAGCATTGTCTAGGATGATATTGGTTCTATGGATGCTATGGATTTCTATGCTATAAACTAGTAAACTGACGCATCTGGCTTGTAGCCTTTTTACATGTGATCAGTGATGTTCTAGACTGTAAGGCACAGCGTGGGGTTGCTTTCGGAATCATTTTCTTGGGGAAATTGTCGGGAATAGAAAGCTTAATAATAGTTATCAGTCTGTGTTTTTTTCCCGCAACATGCAAGCAGCAGGTACAAAGCAACGATGAAACTACTTTCATTTCAGCTATGAGGACGCCAAGGGCACGATTGGCAAGCACGTTCGATTTATTAACTACCGACGCTATACATTAAAAAATTTGGCGACGAGAAATGTATTATCGTACGGAAAAACGTTGTGGATAAAAAGCAGCTCTGAGTGACTTTTAATTCGAGAACAATGAAAAAAAGGTGTCTAAAATGCGGGAAGGTTGTTAATCTCCACTTTGTCTCTCTCTAGACCAAACGTTTTTTTTTTTGTAAATAGCTTTAACGAGGTATCACTCGGTACCTTCAAAAATGCGTTAGTCAGTTTGGAGAGCGATTCCTATCCGTTTTACCCTATTAAGATCAGTTGTGGCCGTAGATTATATAAATTATTTCAAGTGGATAATGGCTTTTGGCTCGATGCGTACATTTTATTGTCGCTAGACACCGACAGAAAAAAGAATTCACCTTTCCCCATGTCTATAACTAAATGTTTTTCCGCCATATCGAAAAAAAAACGATTCCGAACTTACTGTCGAAGTTTTTATAATCTTTGATAATAATAAAAGCTATTGTTTGCTTAAAAAGAAATAAAATCTTCAAAAATTAAACAACAAACTTATACGTTTTAACACGCTTATCAGCGATAAGAAAACGAATCGAAGAAAAAGGCAGAGAAGAAAAATTAATCCAACGCAACGCGGGTATTACCTCTAACCGGTATTTTAAAAAAATCAATTTCGCCAACGATATTTTTGAAAATAAGTATTTATATATTAAAAAAACTAATAGCGTTTGATAAGGGTACACAACTCATTATCCGGATTGTTTTTCTGACCCGCCGGTCACCTCGGCTATCTCAAGTTCAAGATACAATGTTAATGCGAAAGTATTTTTCAAAAAAAAAATCTGCTAATCTGTTTTCGGTTTTTGGCTTAGATACGGGGCTAAAATTAAGTGCCGGATATCGCGAAAGAGTTGCGTGAAAGCAAAGCCAAATAAAGTCCGCAAAAATCTGGTGGTGAAATAAAAATTGAACGGACTTGCCAAACAAAATGCCTTTCCTCACAGCAATTTTCAATTGTCATTGTCAATTATTGACAGAAACCGCAATTGTGGTACATCTTTTACATCTTTGGAAAACCAAAGTGGTAGAATTTTAATTTTTCATATATACAGGGGGTTACGTTCATATGGATTAAATACCAGGTTACTTGTTGATTTAAAATAAGAAAAAAACAATTCAGGACATCACATCGCCTACATTGTATAAATAACTGGACTTTCGATCACTGGAACAGTTTACCCGAAAATGTTACGATTTAGATTTGGACAGCATTTTGCTTAACAGCAATAACTGTAAATGTACTGGACATCTGTATACCAATATACATAATAGGTTTTCCTGTGCACATTATTTTTTGTAAAAATAATAATAAATTGTTAATATATTTCGTTTATAAGGTTCTATACCTAAATGTAACCGTTTTCGATCAATTTTGTATCAAAAATGACATTTGCGGCCCCTAAAAAAATTAACAATTATTCCTATAAGGGAGAATAAATTATTTAATATTTGATGAATTCTACGGAGAGCAAATAGTAAAGTATAAAAAATGTGAAGTCAATTTTTTGGCATTAATAGTTTCCGAAATAATTGACAATTTAACATTTTCCTATTGTCATAATGCGGTTGTTAAGTTTGGTTAGTAGAAAAGTAGATGGTTGATATACAGATTTAATTAATTTTTTTTTTGAAAGATCGCATCTCTATCATTTTTATATTGAAAGTAACAAAATTATCGCTTTAGGTACAACAGAATATCCGCAAAAAAGAATAAAAACATTTTTGGAAAACTTGAACGTGATTTTTAAAAATAATTAAATAAAATATTATTATAATAGAAATTTTTTAAATTAAATTCGGAAAATAGAAATTTCATTATACAAAGTTACCGTAATTGTTGATGGCGAATCGAACCAAATTATTAAAATATGGCGTATCGCGTTAAAAAAAATGACCTACGTTTTTTTATAATTTAATTTTTGTATTTCATTTGTGCTCGCCCTGTAGTAATTTACATTCAAAATATCAACTCAATATATGACAATAGACCTTTTTCCACAAGCAATCAATCCAAATTTAAATAATTAAGGGTCCCTTTTAGAAAAATGGGTTAATATATATCGAATATATGATATGCATATAAACATGAAAAATAAAGAATTAAAAAATATAGATGGAACTTTTCAATTTCATTTTTTTTTCTTTATTTCGTACCTTACTTCGGAAACCCTGTACAACAAACTACCAGTTTAAAAAAAAATTAAAACGGCATTAATTGAAATTACCAGGTATTTTTATATATTTCTTATTGCTAGGTTTTTGCATATGCTTTTCCGAGGTGAACTTTTTAACAATACCTTCTGGGATTTAATTAAAGGAAAATAATTATGACCGTTAATTAAGTCAACAATGGCCATCTGTTCGCAACGTGCGGCGACAAACGCAGTCGCAGCACCATGTGTAGTTTTATGACACACTGGGTATTTTAAAAAAGGCAAAACTGGATAAATATACCTTTCGTCGTGTGTAATTTATGTTTTCGAGGCATTTTTTATTTGTAGAGAGCGGGTCAGGTTTCAGAGCCGGCCCTGCATCGGGCGGTTTCGTCAATTTATTTTTATTTTGTGTATTTCTTGATTTAAAATAAGTTGCGCTCCTAGCTTGTCACTTTGTCACTTGTCATTTTTGACATACGATAAAGTTTAAATGGTCAAACAATCACAGTTTTCTTAATTCTACTAAAAAAACGATGCTCCTAACTGCGTAAATATTAGTTGTAACAGAAAATTTTATTCTTATTGAAAAGACACAAAAATATTTATTATTTAAAATTAAATTATTTTCCCTTACACTTGTTTTTTTTTAATGGAAATGAAAATTTTATCCGTATTAAATAGAGAATTTTATTACGATTCTCATGATTCAAGATTTTATGGACAAATGAAACAATTCACAGCGCTTTGATTCAGTTAGAAATTACGTAAATCAAGAAACACCCCTGTTATACGGCCACCCTCCTGGATGCAGAGTTTTTTTTATGGGAAGCTCTATGAGCTTACAGGGAAACCCATAGAGCGGTAGATGGGGCTTTTAATAATATTTATTAACGATCTGAAAGACAATTAATTCAGTTTTAAAAAGATGAAAATTAAATAAATACTACCAACGCCTTATTTTACGTAATAATTTTTGCCATATATTATTAGATGAACAATGTTAAGCTGAAACTCAAATTACAAAAATAAACAAAAATGTTCATAAAAACTTTATTTTTCAAATTATAATGGAAATAAAATTCTCTATTTAATAAAGATGAAATTTCAAATTCCATTAGAAAAAACAAGTGTTAGGTAAAATAGTTAGTGTCATTTCAATAAGAATAAAATTTCCAAAAGCTTTTGTGTTTATCATTTTCTGCTACGATTAATATATACGTGGCGAATATCTATGGCCAGCTGTCAAATCTCAAAAAACTAAAAACGGTTTTGAGTTGGGGTTACAAAACTGCAATCCTTTGCCGTTTAAACTTTTTCGTATCGGCTATAGTTTTCGAGATACGTGTACTATACATAAAAAAATCTTGCATTACACCATGATCATAAAGTTAACGTTAAAGATATTCGGGAGAAAGAAAAATCGATTTTAATTTTACTAATAGTGTCCCTTAAACCGGACCAATAGCATCGTCCAGCCAATGAGACGTTTCGACAAACCGCGACACCCCAATGAAAGGCGTGGATCTAAAAGACGGCCCCAGGTATAGTCGAAAGGGCTTAAAACGGGACAAATAAAATCGCGTCTATTTCTGAAGGGTCAGTGGCCGATGTAATGAATCGGTCGGTATTTGCGTTGCATTGGAGGATAGAAAAATGTCGCCGAAAATGACATATCCACAATGGTTAATGAAAAATCTGACCTTGGTTATGTCGAGTTTGCAAATAAGCTAAAAATTTTTTGAAAATTTTTCTGAGAGAGAGAGAAAAAATGCTTAGAATATAGTAAGGACTCGAGATTGTTAATTTAATTATTGAAAAAAGCAGTCCTTTCTTAAACTGACAAATAAAACCTAATTCGGGCTAATCCTGCGATGATTAGAAGTAATCGACTCGTTTGAGCGGTAATTAGATGAGATGATTGGTTCAAAGAATGCTCGCGGATGTCCTTTTTAATTCGAACGTAAACGATCGGCCTTCGCCCGTAAAAGGTACAACGGATAATCTTTTTGTTAACCTATGAGTTTATCTCTAACGAATATCAAAAAAAGTTCTATAGTATCTATTTTAGTGATGTGTGTTGATAATTTAAAAATTAAAAATATGGGGTGACCCAAAATTAACATAAAACATTTGAATGAGAAAATTGTTAGAATTTGTTTAATATCTAAAAGTGCAACAAATTTTATAAAAACATTTAGACATGTGCTGAAAAATACCCAGATGTACCAAAATCTACAAGACACGCCGTTTTAAATGATTATGTAGTAGAAAAATTTAAACTTTTAGGGCTGTCGTGAAAAATTATTGCAAAACAATATACATTTTTATAAAAATATCTAATTTTCATATATTTTTTTCTAAATGTCCAACAAACTTAATTTTGTTTTATTTTCTATTAGTATTTTGTCCATTGTTCACTTGTTTTTCAGAAAAACCACCAGCAAGCCAAAATAGTGAACTTTCAGCAGTGCTCGATTTTTTTTACAGTTTTACTGCCAAAAACTTTTACGTCACGCGTTGCAATATTGTTATTTTAAACACTATACTTTTGTTGCATAATTTCAAAATTTTGTTTCTATTAATTACCGAGCTCCGGCAACACCGCTTTTTAAGTAAAAAGTACCAGGACACTTAAATATTTTCAAAACTATCCAACCTGGAACGATAAAATTTAATCCCGAAGGGTCCTGAATGTAAAGAATTAAAAAATGCTAACAACAGTGAAAAAATTCTTAACATCTCTGCATTTTGGAAGTTTTTGAACATAGAAAACTTTTGCAGTATCTCAGTGCAAGGTTAAAACAATTATAAATGAACGCGAACTCTGACAACATTGCCATTAGCATTTTTGAATTTTGCTTGTTTAAAGGCCCACATATATTGAATTTTAGGGTTCCAGCTTTGGAAGTTTTGGAAATATTTTACCACTCGGTACTTGTTACTAACCCGGTGTACGAAATTTGTCTAGAATTTTCCACAGAATTCATTTCTTTAAATATTTATATTAATGGTTAATATTTAAAATGAGTTGCTGCTTGTAGACTAAAATACCACCCTGTATTGTAATATGATATTTTAAAAGTATAAGAGAATACAAATAGTTTTTCGATATTTGCAACAGATTTTGAGAAAACTTATCATCCCATAATAATCGGACTGCCCTGTACAAAGTATATGGTTATAATTCGGCAGAACTCAAGGCTTCAAAGGTCAAATTAAGTCAGAAGAAAATGGAAATACATCCCCGTAGTGCTATCAGTTACCTGTACCTGGTGATATTTTTCTAAATTTGCTACGCCACTATATCCATAAGCATGATAGAAACCATGATAAAAAAACAATTTTCTTCATCAAAGTTACAACTTATTTTAGAAATAATTTATTTTTTGTAGTTAGTTCTAAATGTATGTATAAAAAAAATAGAAAAAAATTGCGAGAATTTTAGACACTAACGAAAACTAGTGTTTTACTTGCAAAAAAAATCATAATTTATTTATTTTTGCTTCCATTTCGAAATATATGTATGTATAAAAAAAATCGAGAAAAACGAAAGACTCTCATTGTCAGAAATTATTTAATTTTTTTTAGAAAGAAGCTGACTTTTTTAAACTTTGTTAATATTATTTTTATTTATATATAAAATAGATAAAAAAGTAATACTCTCTTTATTTATCAAAAAAAGTTGTTATTATTATCTTTTTTATTTGGAAAAAAATAGCGAAAATTTTTGACATCAATGAAAAGAGTGCTTTATTTGAAAAAAAAAATCATTTGCGAGTCGTGCCTACCTTCCGCAGCATAAGTCGTATCCGTGGCCAAGGCCGTAACCGCAAGTATGCAACCCAGGACCAAGTGGAATCTGCGACGCCCCTGTCCACCACTTTCGCCCATCCTGGTCGTAGGCACTAACAACAACTGTTTGATAAGTGGTCAGGCTGACCGTTTTATACGATGCCCTCTGAACTGATAACGACTGCTGGCGACAACGGGAGCCGTTCTTTGTGTACAACGGTGTCACATCCCTTCTTTTTTTGTAACCTAAAAATGACAGTTAATTCTCATAAAACGCATGAAAAGTCAATTAGTTTCGAAGGGGACAACCTACATATTAATTTTGTAGACTTATTCGGTCATTTATTCTTTTATTTCAATTTTTATTAACCCGTTATGGACGTTCTGGCCAACTTTGCATCGTCCCACAAGGTTTGAAATCCGGACGACAAATATACTGCGACTTCCGGTATAGGGTGGTTCACTTATGATGCCCCTATACCTTATCTCAATAAGTACTACACTGACGAAAAAACTTATACACAAAATGTGTTTGATCCTAAGTATATTACAGAATTTTTTGTATAAAGCGTATTGCGTTGTAACAGTAACCAACTTTTTTTTTTAATTCTAATTACAGGCTTGATTTTGAGTATTTTACATAGCATGCGAAATTTAGAGTAGTTATTAACAAAATTGCGAATTATAATGGACATATAATGTTTTGACCGATCTATATCGAAAATATATTATACAGGGTGGTCACAAATGAATATCAAAAGTTTTTCTTCTAATTAAAAAAACTCTTTTTTTTTAAATAGAACATCTTGTATTTGGCACTTTTATAGGGTTTGGGATATATATATCATCCGTTCGTTCTTTGAACTCCGACTGGAATCCTGCAGACGTTTCGCCAAGATTTATCTCACTTGGCATCTTCAATGCTCGCGTTCCGAAAACACTTCTAACACTCGATTCAATTGCCAAAAATGGAAGCTATACAGAAAATGTTTTGTAAAAAAAAATTACAATAGGATATTATATAGGCTTCGTTAAATTTAAAATAAAATACGAGAGTTGTAGCAGAAAATTGGCCATATAAAGCTGCATATATGAAATAATACAGAATTAAATTCCAAGCCCAATGAAAGTGCTAATTGCAGGGTGTTTTAAAAAATAAAAATATTCTTTTTAATTGAAAAAACATTTTTTATGGTCATTTTTTAATACCTTACATAATATATTTCCGCCATCAACATTAAATATTAACCAGTTCCATGTATCCATAATAAAAATTTCCAATTTTAGTTTTCAAGTTGAAAAAACACATTTTTCCTAAAACCTGTTTTTCCGCAAAAAATTTGAAATTTTAATTTTTATCAAAAACATAAAAATACTATATACAAAATATATACGTAGGGTCAAACATTTTTTTATTTTTTTCCTCAGTGTCGTATTTAATAGGGTAAGATATAGGAGCATCTTAAATGGACCACCTTCTACATCAGAAAAACTTTTTCTCCTCTTGAAAATTGATTGTTTTCCTATTAGGGTCAAACTAATTTCCATGCAATAGAGAGACGAGGTTGATTAATGAAATAATAATAATTATAATTATAGAGATTGGCAGATATTGAGATATAAGGTATTCTAAGATGTAACAATTTAAAAAGGGGCCCTCTATATAGTGTTTTCTGGCATTTAATCAGCTTCCCACACTCCATTTTTCACAATTCACTGCATTATTCAACATTTTAAAAATTAATGTTATTATTCGCTACAAATTCGATTGCATATAAAAGGTTTATTAAAATTTACAATCTCCAGTAGCTCTATTTTTATTTATTTTTTTAACTACCTCCTATTTAAAGTGATTCCCGAGGAAAATCAGTTCAGGTTTAGTGCTGGAATGGGCACTAACATACAACTACTGACAGAACAGTCTAAATGTTTAAACATATACATTCATGTGCTTTATAGACTATGACCGCTATGGCAAGCTCATAGAGATATTACGTATAATAGTAGTGGATGAAAAAGACAGCATGTAAAGACACAAAACATCAGAACCATACGTATAGGTATAACACAGGATTAGGTACTCGAAAGGGATTTTCAGTGAACGTAAAGGTAAAATCTGAATTTTTATTTATTTGATTTACCCATACTTTTCGTAATACATGGTGCTTTTTTAAAATGCGTGCTTGTCAGTGTTCAATAAGTTGTAATAACAAAATAAGTTCGACTTATTAAGTTTTGATATTCATATGTTTAGGTATATTTAATTGAATATTGAATTTTAAAGAAGTACTACAAATGTTTTTATTTAAATATCCTGAGCGTAGGGAAGGAAAGTTATCCAAATTTACACAGTTTCAAAGTTTTATTTGAAATGTAATAAATGTCCATGATTAATAGATATTTTTCTAGTAATTCTCAGTTTTAAATGGTTTCAAAATGTAATTGGATTACAACAATTTTGAAAAATTATAAATAGGAAGAAAAATTAACAAAATTAGGGTAAAAGGTTATATTGATTAAAAAAAAATTGTGCTTAATTAAAATACAATAGATTTGGAAATCTGGCATCTGCAAAATACTAAAAGTTCATATTAATTTTAAAAAATGTATAGTTTATTTTATACAAAATAAATTTTGGAATATTACATGAAAATAAGAAAAACGAAATGTTTGTTTTGTAATTTTTAAATAAAAATCCATAAAATTCCGTTACAATTTAACTAAAAAAATACAGAACTTTTTATATAAATTTCTTTTTACTAGTTTTTTTAAATTCATGCTGATATCTTATGATCCCAAAATTAGCCGCGTTATATTACGGAAATATACAAATTCGTTTTTATTAGTGTAGAGTATTTTCAGGTCAACAGCTTCCCACATTATCTATTCTATTTCAATTACACTTACTCCATTCTTCACAACCACTGTCTTTATCCCCAAGAGGGTTTCAACGTTTCTCATTTTAAAATTGAGGTTACGCCTATTTTCATTGTTTTTGTTTGCTTTTATTCCAGTGGACCATCGTTAAATGGAATCTCACCTCTCCCTTTTATCTCCCTCCACGTTTTACCGTGTCTCCAGATAATATGTATTATATAATTATAGGTTATAGCTCTCCCTTTTAAAAGTGATTTTCCTTTTTCATTTCAGACATTCAAATATTATAAACAGTTCTTTCTTGTGGTCACCCGGTATACGACTAGAGAGAATTTTTCAAAAACCGTTGATGATTGTTTTTTTGTCCCGCAATGTGCTGGCTAAATTTTTGTAGCAACGTTTCAACAAAAAACGTATTGATTAGGCGACAATTTTTTTATTCATTCCTATCTAACGAAACGGCTATAAACCCTTCTAATCTTCTTGGAGATAAAATATTCATGACTAAATGATATTCCCGAATTAATGGGCCCCAAGAATTCCATAAATATTTACTTAAACTTTCTATGAGGAGATAACTTATCTTCGATTCCAGCATAATCGACAACAAACAATGTTTCCGCGTCTATTTGCAAAGGAAAATTTTTGGCCACCGGCATAACGAGATCACATCGGATTACCCATCATTTCATGGATTGCAACAATAGGTTGTAGACTTAATGACAAATTTTAATCCGACCTACCGGCGGTTCTATACGATGTTGAACTTGTTATTGCAAAGTGTTTTTATTGTTCACTTTGACCCAACGTTTTAATAACCCTTTGTGTCAGAGCTAGTCTTATCGACATTGAATTAAATATTCCAGAAAATCTCGTCCTACCTGCCTGTTTTAGAAGTGCTTACATTTCGCGAGTTAATCAAATCTTTCCGGGAAAACATACAGTTTGGTTAACCTATGAACCGTTAAACCGATAACTGCGGCTTGGATTTCGTATCACCTAACGATTAGATACGTTGAATAGTAATCGGTTTGTGTAATAATTCGGGAGTCAACAACTCAGGTCAATTTTAAATAACTAATTTATTTTTTAAACTTTTTTGTAAAAATAAAAAAAATAAAAATGTTTGGAAAAAATGGTCCTATCCTGCTTACTCCAAGGAATTTGATAGGGTTCAACACCCTCAACTAACGAAAATGCGAAGAGCATTTTTGTTAGTTAGCATTTTTGACTTCTGCATGCTCAAAAACACCACGGAATTGAATTTTTTCGTTACAGCTTGGATAGTTTTGGAGATATTTAAGCGTTTCGATATTTTCTGAAAAACCGGCATTCCCGTAGCTCACTCACGAATAGGAACATTTTGAAATTTTCAGATTTTACTAAATTCGACATTCGCAATTCATTTCAATAGATAAATAAGACCTCCCATTTAAAAATTTAACAAAACTATAACTAAAATAAAATTGGTAAATCTGACAACAGTGCCGTGAGCATTTCTGAATTTTTCATTTTAAAAACTCACAAGTATTGAATTTTATCGTTCCAGATTTTGCAGTTTTGGAGTTTTTAGGTTTACTCTGGACACATATTTAAGAGAGCGCTTGAAAACCATGATGCAGGAATACTTGCGAGTGAATAATATTAGATTCGCTGATGATACCATTATAATTGTCATCAGTTTGGAAGAACTACATCTATATATGAATGCTTCATTCGATGCAAAAGGATTACATAAGTCATATAATGCAAAGAGATGCAAATTACTGCGAGAAATATTACAAGGAAAAAATACAGGAGAACGGCAGTAGACGAATTTCTTCGTTAAAGAAACTGAACTTTTTTCCCTTCAACAACAACGAGCTGCAACGAACCATCCGGATCAGATCAGCACTCTCAGAAGAAGATCCTGAATAGAATAATTTCCAGAAACCAAAAAATGATCAGCCTAGATTTTCTCAAACAGTATTTAAAAAGCAAAGTAAAAAACACCGAAGCTCGTCGATTGTGTTTACAATTGGGGACAAATTTTGATAATATTGAAATTTTCGTAGCTGGTAAGAGATTACTCTTAAAATTTTGTCGAATAGTTTTTAAGATATTGTTTCAAAAGTTAAAATGGAACCAACAGAAAATAATTTTACTACAATTTTCGAAACATAAATCAAATGCTCAAAGAAGCCGACATATTCTTTCACGCAGTAGTATAGGATTTTTTCTGATATTTTCCATCTTTTCTGTAGCTATTTTTCCCCATTCATCTGCTATGTGTAGTTAGATGTTAATG